CAGAGAGCAGGTGTGCTCAGCAGAGGGGAGCACAGAGCCGGGATCAGGACAGAGAGACAGAGAGCAGGTGTGCTCAGCAGAGGGGAGCACAGAGCTGGGGTCACGATTATTGCGCAGATGCATCGGCTTTGCAGAACAGCCACAAATGAGTCTGCAGGGCAGTGACATGCCGCTGGTCCTTCCAGAGCTCAAGGATTTGCTGGTGTCCCTCTGCAGTGCCCTGTCCTCAAACTGTGTTGGAGTCATCCCCCATTCTGTGTGCAGGTGCCCAGCCTCGGGGACGGAGCTGAGCGGGACAAGATGCTCTGCTGTAGCCCCTTCCCACCCTGTGGACCTGGCGGCCTATTTTTGCTCAGCCTGGGCTTTTTTACTTTTAAGCAGAAATTCTGCTATGAGAATCTGTTTCCTCGGGGTCTAAGAGAATGGCCAGGCTGGCGATGGCGGAGTCTCTATGGGGAAGTCTGGGCTGATGATGAAAAGAAATGGAGACGTGGACCTGCCAGACTTGGGATTTTAAAATTGCATCTAAATGTCATTTGTCACATTGTCAGGATGTGGCCAATACACTAAAGAAATTTGTCAAGTATTTAAACTGTGTGGACGCTGCAGCAGGCAGGCTATGGCCAGGCCCTGCAACAAGCCTGGCCCCCATTTGCCCTGGGCCCCACCAAGGGCGCCACCTCCATCTTATGGAATAGTGTCTTATCTTTTCTTTACTGACAACTCAGCAAATGTGACTTTTTCTATGGCATTCAGCAGAATTTTCCTTAAAGCAAAGAAATTCTAATCCAAGTCAGAAAATCTGCTTATTATAAGTTTGATAAGCCAAATGATGTTACCTGTTTATGGACATCAGTTTCTATTACCTAGATCTACACACGCGCGCGCACACACAACCCTGTCAAAATCTCATCTGTGCATCTCTTAGCCAAACCTGGAGCAGGGCCACCTCACTGCAGCTGGAAGGAGACCCCTGACTGACCTTCCTGGGCTTGGCAGCACCTGAGGCTCCAGTGAAGGGCCTGCATTTCCTGCCTCTGCTAGCACCTGGAGAAACCTTCCAAATGTATCCAGAGCATTCTACCCACTCAAGGGTCCCCTCCTGCAGAGGCCTGAGTTGCATGCAGAGATGAAAGGCCAAGCAAGGCTGGGGAGAACTCCAAGTCCCCAGGGTTGAGAGAGATACCATAATACCCCAGCCTCAGACCTCATCAACCAGTCCCCCACAGGCTCCTTCCAGGACCAGGCAGTGAGTGCAGTATATCTCTTTTGAGACAGAATCTCTCTCCACTGCTCAGACTAGAGTGCTGTGGTATCATCCTAGCTTATAGCAACCTCAAACTCCTGGGCTCAAGCGATCTTCCTGCCTCAGCCTCCTTAGTAGCTGGGACTACAGGTATGAACCACCACCTACAGCCAAGTGTGATGAGCCTCACACATGTGGTCACTTGGAGGGAATGCCCAGAGGAAAACACAGATGCTTCTGTGGGTGGCAGGTTTGGAAAGTAGGACTCCACCGTGGGCACCCACCCCTGAGCTGGTGCAGGGCCGCCCTGACCCCAGCTTCCCCTTCTTGTCTACGTGTTTCCCTGTGGGGTCATTTTTAAGCAGCTGATCGTGCTCAGCGCCCTGTGGTGCAGACCTGAGCTAGCAGCCTGCTTTCCTCTCACTCCAGTTAAAGCTGCATGCGATGCTCCTTACACATGAATCACGGCACCCTAAATACTTACTGCCCGTGCCAGCCCTTCCCCACTCCTCACACTCTCGCTGGGCCTATCCCCCACCTGGACCCCATGTCAGCATCTGCCCTGCAGGTGCCCTCTGTCCAGCCTCTTGGCTCCAGAGTGATTCCAGCTGATGTGGGCATCAGCTTCCTGTGAGTACAGCCAAGTCCCCCCACAGAGGGCTTCAAACCCTGCGTGACCCAAAGTCAGTCGAGATCTATACCAGTTGCAAGGAAAATAGGAATAGAAAATACAGGCATTTGGCTCCCTGCAGGCCCGCCGAGTTCCAATCTGAAGAGCGTGTTAAGGATTCTGAGATTTGTGGGGCTCCCAATGTTTGGCAATTTTCTATCATGTGCAATTCTCCTTAGGTTCCCGTTTCCTCCTAAAATCCCAAGGCTCACACGTCACACTGTTACTCTGGAAGATTAAGAAAAACTCACCTTTTAGTGCTGTATAACTACAGGTGCTGTGGACTATTTTAATAAATGATTGGACATATTTTGAAAGGGAGCAGGAAGATGACCCTGGGCTAACAAATGCTGTCACGCTCCTTGGTAGGAAGCCCAGACCTTTCGGATGGTCATTCCACATAAATGCATGTATATCAAAATCTGCAATGGAAAGTATGGATAGTCGAGTATCCATGCTCGTTACTTTGCTATAAATGAAACCTTCACCACCATCTTTAATGATCTCTTCCATGAGCTTCTCTATTCAAATGATCAAGGGTTTCTGTTGTCTGAAGTCCACAGACCAGCAGAGGTTCAAATGTTAATCACCATCTATCAGGCTGCAGTGTGCACGCTGCTGCCCTGAGCAGACAGAAGCTGCAAGCTGCAGCCTCCACGGGGAACCCGCCTTCTCCAGAAAGCGAGGATCAGAAAGAATGCTGAGACTATGCCCAGGTCTAAGTGACCGACTGTGACAGTGCCCAGGTCTAAGTGACCGACTGTGACAGTACCCAGGTCTAAGTGACCATCTGTGACAGTGCCCGGGTCTAAGTGACCATCTGTGACAGTGCCCGAGTCTGAGTGACCGACTGTGACAGTGCCCAGGTCTGAGTGACCAACTGTGACAGTGCCCATGGCTAAGTGACCATCTGTGACAGTGCCCGGGTCTAAGTGACCATTTGTGACAGTGCCCGGGTCTGAGTGACCACCTGTTATAGTGCCCGGATCTGAGTGACCACCTGTGACAGTGCCTGGGTCTCGGTGACCATCTGTTATAGTGCCTGGGTCTAAGTGACTGACGGTGACAGTGCCCGGGTCTGAGTGACCATCTGTGACAGTGCCCGGGTCTAAGTAACTGTCTGTGACAGTGCTTGGGTCTAAACAACTGACTGTGACAGTGCCCAGGTCTAAGTGACTATCTGTGACAGTGCCCAGGTCTAAACGACTGACTGTGACAGTGTCAGGTCCGAGTGACCACCTGTGGCAGTGCTTGGGTTCAATTGAGCACTGTGTCAGGCTCACAGTCCTCGTTCCCTGGCCCGACATTCGCTCAGTGTCTAACCAGGCACTAAAGATTGTGATTTAAGGACTCTTTGGCATAAGGGCAGGTATCTGCCAGATTTTACTGCCTCTTTATTACCAGAAATCATTCCTGGTGACCCTAAATAGCTCCTCATCTTTGGGATGCAAAAAATCACCTCATCAGGGGAGCTTTGCTGACTTCTGGCCCCTTCTTCTCCCCCTAAGGGATGTCCTTTCCTAATAAAGGGAGACTCCACACCGCCAAGGGCACATGAGCAGCCTGGCCAGCCTTGTCCCACTTTGAGCTGTGACATATTTGGACACCACAGCCCGTGTTTCTCGACGTATCTGGTGAGACAACAGGAGCTCAGGCAGGACCAGTCCCGCTGTGCTGTGACTACTTGCCTGGGCTTCGGAGGGTACACGTGTCCCTCTGTGAGGGGCTGTTAAGGAAGGGTGAGTGCCACAGTCACTTGTTCTGAGGCTGCATCTTCCACCGAAACAGGCCACCTGAGGTGAGCCAGGGGCTCGCGCTGAAAGACTCGGCAAGGAGAAGCTGTATGGCTGTCAAGGGATAGCTGGGTGGTTGTCCTGAATGAACAGCTACCACTTGTCCCAGAGCCAGAGGGACAAGGGCAATAGCCATCACCTGGGACCCCCTCTAGGAGGTATTGGGACTTCACTCTTTTCTCCTAGGTCCTAGCCAATAAGCAGTAATCAAAAAAAAATCTAGGCTTGGTGCTTGTTGTTCAGTGGTTAGGGCACTGGCCACATGCACTGGGGCTGGTGGGTTCGAAAATGACCCAGGACTGCTAAACAACAATGACAACAACAACAACAAAATAGAGAAATGTTATGGCAGGCACCTATAGTCCCAGCTACTTGGGAGGCTAAGGCAAGAGAATCACTTAATGCCAGGAGTTCGAGGTTGCTGTGAGCCGTGATGTCACAGCACTCTACCCAGGGTGACATAGTGAGACTCTGTCTCAAAAAAAAAAAAAAATCTAATGAATGGTTTGTTTCACCCCTGTGTGGGTAAAATCTTAGTCTGACTAAGCAGATTAGCCACAAGAGTGTGGAGGGACAGCTCTTGGGGCAGCTGAGCAGAGCAGGCAGGACCGCCGCACTGGAAGGGAGGGGCCAGGTCAGGTCCCTTTGTGCGGGGAGGTTCCCTGGCTCTGGGCTCCCAGCATCTAGAATGAGACTGGTGCCTGGCCAGTGAGGAGTGATCACAGACACAAAGCAATCACCAGCAACACAGGTTACTGCAGAACAAATAAGGAGGAGGGCGGATCCCGTCTCCAGAGGGTCCTGCAGACCAAGAGAGCCCTCCCCTGAGGCTGGACTAGGTGGTGCCTCCATCTCCATCCCGGACGTCCAGTGTCCAAGTCTCACAAGGATTGTGGGAAATAAGTCTCTGCTGTTTAAACCACCCAGCAAGTGCATTTTTGGTGTAAGGGCATCGACTGGCCAGCCCAGCTTGTCTGGTGGGAATGATGGGTAAAACAGTCACTGCTTCTGGCTTGCTCTGGACTAACAGTTGGGGACCTGGGGGCCCCGGTTCAGGGAAAGCACAGCCACTCAGTCCTTGGGAGGACACACAGCCAAGAGTCCTTGTGGCCTCCAGAGACACAGGCCAGGAGCCCTTGGGAAGGACAGCGAAGGGGGAGCAGGGAGAGAGGCAGCAAGAGCCCCAGGGAGGAAGGCCACGCAGTTCCCAGGCAGGAGACTGAAAACAGCCATTACGCCTCGTCCCCTGCTGGGGATGCTCACCAGCCGCTCTGTCCTTCCCAACCAGCGTTGTGTCGAGAAGTCCCTCTGAGAGTCTGCGCTTGTTGCAGCCTTGTATTGGGGGTGCTGTGGGGTGGCGTGGGGCCCAGCAGAGTCCCCTGTGACTCAGGGTAAACAGGGAGGGTGGAGCTCCATGGCCGGGCAGCAAGGATGGGGTCCTGGACGGTGACATTTGGGTCAGGAAGCATCTGGAAGAACACGTGCCTCCTTCCACCCCTTCCCTCCATCACCCCAGAACACACTTCCTCAAGAATATTTTGGAAGAACCCAGATTTGGGGCAATCAAAAGACAGGAGTTTAGGTCCAAGGGAAGGGTCAGCCAGAAGGTCAGAAGACACAGCAGTGCTGGGGCCTGTGTCTCATGGATCTCAGGCAGCAGTAGACAGAGCGAGCCGCCGTCAGCCACCGGCTTAGAAGGTACAACATTGCATTCTATGCAGTGAAAATTCCAGCCAGTGTCTGTCCAGTCTCTCAGAAACTATTTGGAACAAAGAAAGATTTTAATAACTTCACTGTATTCAACACTTAGGAAATATGGGTTTAATGAGCAAATTAAGTGTTATACACTAAAAGAGTACTACTGACGGATAAACTCAGCATCCTTGGGAGTCTGGCCTGAGGAGTGGCCACAGTCAGGACAATTTAGGGGTCTAGCATACTGGCCATGCCCTTGCCATCTGTCCATTCCACATACAAAAGATGAAATCTCAAGGACTCCTGTCTTTCAATGGGATCAAAAAAGGGAAATGAATTGTGCTAGTCAGCAGCAAACTCACAGTTGGGCGGTGTAGGCACAGCCGCTGTCTTCAGCTGCCTGGGAGGCCAAGGCCCACCAGCGCA